ACTGTCTTGTCTACCATGTCTACCAACATTTCTTTACCTCTTATGTTCTTACTCACTCCCCCTTTCTGCCCTTCTCCTTCTCTCTCTCTCTCTCTCTCTCTCTCTAACTTTCTACTTTGTTTCTCTCTCTCCCTCTCTCTAAGGATCAGATTGGCGTATGTTACCCTACCATGACTACCACTCTGCGCAGGTCTTTCTCATCAACCATCACCTGGTGAACGACACCAGGTATTCCAAGTACGTTCGTCCCGTCGAGGACGAGGACACCACCACTGTCGTCCTCCTCAGCTTCCATCTTGGTACCATCATAGACCTGGTAAGCGCTTTAAAGGGGCTGTAGCATGACGAGACTATGCGTCTTTCCGAGGCCCACGCACTCGGGGAAAATCGGGTATTTAATTCAAGTCCTTTAGTTTACGTGCAGTTGTTCAAAAGAAGACGTAGATGGCGTCACTCAGTATATTTTATTGTTGTTGTTGTTCTTTGGTTTGGTTAGGTAAAATAATATCCTATTCTTCTAAGAGGTCCAGTGTTTTTTGCTACTTGGTCTATTTCCGACAAGATCGAAGCGAATTCCTTCATTTGACCTCCTCCCCCCCCCCCCCCTCGCCAAACAAAAGAGAGAGAGAGAGAAAATGACAATACGGATATGCAAACTATTCAGAACGGCCACGTTTGAGGGTCCTGAGCCCCGGCCGCCCCCCTAACTTTATTTTTTCATTTTTGTTGGTGTATCTCGTTTGCGCGGAATCCAATAAACCATATAAATCGTGTCTTAATCAGATAATCATTGATTGGCTGGGAGCTGGTCACGTGGTATGTTCTATGTTCTACCAACAAATGCCCTAAGAAGGCCTACATGTATATACATAAATGTAAATTGCAGTGACGTATTTCGAGACTTTATCAGCCCGTTGCACTCGAGGCATCATTCTATCTGACGTAGGGTGGCGTCAATAATTGATGCAATATCGTTTAAAAGGGGGTTTCACCATGAAAACAATGACAATGGTTTTAATAATGGGCCTACGGGCTAATTTCCTTCTCATGCTCGACAGGGACGAGAACTATAATGACGTAATCGAAATAACGCAACGGACCTCAGTCCGGGAAAGAAAGTTTGTCTTCATTTTTTTTTCTTCATAAAGCACTGAATCAGTTAATCAACCAATGCTCTTAGGTTATTATTAATTTAACTCTGGTCACTGGGTTCAATAAAGATTATGTACTTACCGCACGTTTCCCAATCCACTTAGAAGCACTTTCTTCTACGAAATGGGCATATTGACTTCAACCGTCTAAAAAAGAATTCGGTTAAACAAGATGTGTTAAAGAAGTGAATCCTTTATACTTTATAGACCTATGTTTAGATGGTGATTAATTGAGGAAACAATCAGGGAATGTCGTTGCCCTCGGATATCAGGCCTCTGAAGTTAAATTTCTAATAATTTGAGGAACTGAAATTGATTTATATCATGAAAATAATGTGTCATTATGTAAAGCTAATAAGTTCTCCTTACATGAAACACTTATTGTATGATGCTCAAATTGTTTAGATCAATTCATGTAAAATAGTTGTGTCACGCCCCTGTATATTATAGAAACATGTCGTCGTAAATAATTTGATGTAATTCTGAAAGAGTGCGTTGCGTAATTGAATGCTCAGTGACATTATGTCTCCCTGTAGAATAGACGCTGAATACAATTACAACATGATTCCATACCGAGAATGGAAATGTAGGGTAAGGCTCGATTCTCCTCCAAATTACATCTTTTCATTACACACCAAGTGTTGCATACAAATACGTTACGTTTCGATTACAGATAGGAGCATGCTCCCTTCTCTGATGGCAGTCCCTCCCCAGAGCCCCGGCACGCGATGAATAAATAAGGAGGAGAAAGGACAACTTTCTATCCTCGATCTGTCTCGCGCGCCAAAAAGACAAGACGGGTGGGTTGCGATTCTCCCTCGAGGGCTCCTCCTATAGCAATTACTTTACAGGGGTTAGGCGTGAAGATGACGCCTTTCCATGAGGAACGAGTCCCCGCCATGCTTCCCTAACTCCCTGGGATGTCGGTCGTAACAATTCCAACAATAGCTTAGCTTTTAAGAGCCCGTATTCGGTCGTTTCATTATAGTGGTGGAGTATCCACTGTCGGAAATTGCACCATTAGTCTTTGCAATATCCTAATTAGATGAAGTAAAGAAACATTGGAAAGTCTTACAATTATCATGCACATCAAGCAATCTTGGAAGCATTTCAACCTGAATAAAGACAAATATGTCTCGTTAGTTGATTGCTTTCATTTGTCTGTTCTAAGATGCCACGAAAGGAAGATTTAAAGATTTCAAAAAATGAATATATGAAACGCATAGTACTTCAACACTCACTCACAGGGAATGCAAAAAAACAAACACAACAACAAACATGATACAATGATAATAATAATAACAATAAGAATTGAATTGAATTTATTTTCTTCAGCAACATACAAATCTCATTACATTTTAGCAATATAACATTTACAAAATATAACAAGTTATTTTACTGGTATACAATAAATAATAATAATAATTGATGACATTAAAACAGAATTTAACGAGCGAGCGAGCTTTATAGGGAAATTGCTAAGTCGCTTGTAATAAGGGACACGTTTAATGATGAGAGGAAAATAGAACACTTGTCGAAAGGGATAAGTACGAAACTCTTGGGCAGTTGGTATCATGCATATTTCGTGATCATTAGAAGGCTTATATCATGCTTATATTCACTTAAATTTACCTCACTGACAGAATTACGTCAAACTTTAGTCAAAGAGGTTTGAGCGACTTCTGATTACCGTTGTAAATTGCCAATTTGTATTGCTTTAAATGGGCTTGTTTTTTTGTCATGAAACCTTTTTTTTTTTTTTTTACTGCCGGCTTTCACTGTACTATTAATCTTATAAAATTATATATAATTGAACTCAACATAATAATAATTACTGCTTAACATAATCGTTCTCAATGCATGAAGTCACGTTCTTCTTCAAAGTTGTTATCGAACTACATGTACTTCATGTATATGTAAATGTACAATTTATAACCTTATTTCATGTTGTCTTGTATTTTACTGTAAATATGACAATATTAGTCTCTTTTCACTTCTCACTTATCACATAAGCCATGTTCTTTTTTAAACAATAAAACCGAAATTGAATTGAAATGAAGACACTGGTTAGAAAAGAAAAGGAGCACGTGTCAACTACAAAGGGTAACTATCCGAGGTAAAAATGAGGCACTTCTTACACCTGAAAAAGAGGCACTCACCAGGGATGAATAAGGCACGTATGAAAATGGGAAATGAGCATTTGTCAACGGAAAGGGGTACCCATCATATTTTGATAGGGGCGTGTATAAGAGGTAAAAAGGGGCATTTATGAAAAGCGGATAGGTCCTTTATTAGATAGGAAAACGGGCATATATGATTGTTAAAAGGGAAATTATCAGATGTGAAAAAGGGGCACTTAACGCACCTAAAAAGCAGCACTGACCAGATATGAAAAGGGGCACTTATGAGACTGAAAAAGGGCACTTATGATATAGGAAAATGTGTATTTGTTGGAAAAAGGGACGTCGATCAGATTTTAATAGGGGCATTTATCGGAGCTAAAAGAGGGCTTTTTGAGAAGTGGGAAGTGGCTCTAATAAAAAAGGAAAAAAAGGCATATGTTAAAATAAACGGGGCCCTTATCAGAGATGAAAAAGAGCATTCATTAGAAAGGAAAAGGGGCATGTGTCAAATTAAAATTAGCAGTTATTATAGGTGAAAAGGGGCACTCATCAGAGATGAAAAGAGCACTTTTCAGGAAGGGAAAGGGCACTTATCAGAGTTAAATGATCACCTCTCAAATTTGAATAGGGGCCATTATCGGAGGTGAAGGGGGCACTTAACTGAAATGAAATGGAGTAACTTCTCGTACCTAAAAAGATAATTTAGTAGTGATGAGAAGGGGCGATTATTAGAAATAAAGGGAACACTTGGCATAGGTGAAAAAGGGCCATTATGAGGAGGGGAAGAGGCTCTTTTTTCTAATGGGGGAACTTATCAAAAGAAAAATGGGGCACTTACTAAAAAAAATGAAAAGGGACACCCCTCCCAGATTTGAATAGGGCAATTATCCGAGGAGACGGGGGCACTTATCAAAAGTAAAAAGGGGCAGTTACTAGAGATTCAAAAGGGCACTTATGATAAAGGAAAATGGACACTTCCTGCAAAAGAAAATGGGAGCTTGTCAAAATAAAAAGGGGGCACTTATCGGAGTTGTAAAGGGGAAGAGCACTTCTTACAAAGTTAAAGGGGCACTTTTCCATGTAAAAATGGCCCTTTGGGGTACGCCTCTGTCAGTGCCCTTAAAATGTAGTTTTTCAATGGACCGGTGTGCTGCTTGGGCGTTTTTTTTTTTCTTCAATGCGGACCCCAAGAATCTTTTTGATTTGAATTTTACGCCAACGTTTCAGGAGTTAAAGGGTATTTTAAGAATACCCCTCTTCCATCCTCTGATGGTTGTCTTCTATTTCAGCTCCTGTCTTTGTCACAAGTGACTTTGTCTGTACTTTGTACTTTTTTATGTAAATTGTACGTACATGTATTTTGTCCTGTTTTGTTGTTGTTGCTGTTGTAATGCCTGCATTGTTATTTGATTGTAAAAGGTAAATTTATGAGTGTGAAGAAAAAGTTGGTAATAATTTGTATCACCCCTCCCCACCAGTTCCAAGTACCGGCGAATAAACATGAGGGGAGGGGGGGGTATAATGTTGCTGCTGCTGTTGTTGTCCCTTTTCTTTTATTGACCGATTCATTTATTCATATTTCTCATGAACAGGATGTTGCTTTTATAGTGTTTTACTTGAGATTAGTAGTAAAAGTTGTCTGGTAAAATGTAAAAGGACTTTGACTATATGAACCATAATAATGTATACTTTTTTGTTGTTGTTGTTATGTTGACGTACAGGATGAAGCAAGTCAATCGTTAACGGCGCATATCGGTCTGACAATGGTAAGTACGATTATTTGTTTTTAATTGATGTACATTGATAAAGTGGAGTAGTGAGTGGCAAATGGGAAATGATGAAAGAGAAAGAGGGACGCAAAGATAGAGAGACAGAGAGTAAGAAAGAGAGAGAGAGAGAGAGAGAGAGTGAGAGAGAGAGAAGAAACAAAGAGACACACATAAAGAAGGGGTAGTATCGTAAACAGAAAACGACAAAACTTTAACATACCAGCATAATACTCAACTCTTTGATAATTTTTGTTAAATAATTTTGTTCACCAGTTTAAAGTTTACATGCTATAAAATGTGTTTCCTATTTCTTTTTTGTTATGACCATGTATCTTGTTATAGTTTCATTACTGTTGTCATTTTAGCGGGGATGCAGCCCTAGACGGAGTTTTCAGACCTTTTTGCTGCATCCCCAGACATGTTTTATTTTTACTAAATGTCTGAATAAATCCATTAATACAATGTAATACAAGACCACACCCTCCCCCGCTCGGTCGCTTTGCTCCCTCGTCTGTCATCTAAAAGAATCATCCACAACATAACAGGGTTACATCCATAGCTTGTGTTTTCAGGAATATTAAAATGCAAAATAACAACGAAGCTGGTCACTCCAACAAGCATCATTATTCTTGGTGCGGTTTATGACTGGAACCATGGCTGTTTTGAAAATGAAATAGCGCCATCAGGTTGTCATTCACCTTCACATCAAATCTTCCAGCAGAAAATTTGAATAGATTTTACTCTCGTATGTTTGGGATGACGATAAGAGACAATTACTTGTGATTCTTCACAAATAATAATCGCAATTAGTACCATTGGTAAACTAAAAATCACCTGGGTAATAATAATGATAATAATGATAAAATCAATAATAATAATAATAATAATAATAATAATAATGAAAATGTTAACACAATAATAACAATAATAATCACAAAAGCAACCACACTACTACTAATAATAATAATAACAATACTAATATTAATAATATATAATTGATAGAGCGCTTAGTTACTATTATTACCCCGGCATTATATTAGCTTAGCGGCCCTGATATGGCTATCTGGCTTTTAAGGAATTTGGTTATGACCTCACTCATGATCACTGACATCAACACTATCACCATCGCCAAGTATTCATCATCATCATCATCATCATCATCATCAACATCATCAATACCATCATCATTATCATCATCATCATCATCATCATCACCATCATCATCATCATCATCACCATCATCATCATCATCATCATCACCGTCATCGTGACCATCATCATCATCATCATCATCACCATCACCATCACCATCACCATCACCATCACCATCACCATCATCATCTTCACCATCATCATCACCATCATCATCACCATCATCGTGACCATCATCACCCTCATCGTGACTATCATCATCATCATCATCACCATCATCATCACCATCATCATCACCATCACCATCACCATTACCATCACCATCACCATCATCATCATCATCTTCACCATCATCATCACCATCACCATCACCATCACCATCACCATCACCATCACCATCACCATCATCATCATCATCTTCACCATCATCATCATCATCATCACCATCATCGTGACCATCATCACCCTCATCGTGACTATCATCATCATCATCATCACCATCATCGTGACTATCATCATCATCATCATCACCATCATCATCACCATCATCATCACCATCACCATCACCATCACCATCATCATCATCATCTTCACCATCATCATCATCATCATCATCATCGATATCAACAACGTCCTCCATCTTCCTTAGCCTATCATTAACTTCAAACGGCATTAACGGCAAATGAGCAATATGGAAACAAACAGTTTAAGTTTCTAACTTTCTGCCTATCTTGTCACTCGGGAGTTTTCTGCGAATTTGAAAATTTGTATATAACATCATGGAAAGGGTAATCCAGAAACAGCTCACTATTGGCCATTGGGTAATATCTCTCTTTTCCTGGCTGAACCCAAAATAAAGATATTATTTGTTATTACCCAACAAACCGTGGTTGTAAAAGGAATAGCGCCATCACAGGTTCACATGAAATGTCATGCAGGCCGACGACGGAGTTGACGAATATTTGGACGAAATTCTACATGATCTCAGACACTGATTTCAGTGTACAACAGGGCTCTTTATCAAGCCCACAATAGATGGCGCTAATAAACAGTTTAATACTTCAACACAATGGAACAAAAAGGTTCTTGCAGGGTTTTTTTTTTTTAGTGACGTAACATGGCGGGAAAGGGTAGAAGTTTTACGCGTGTGGGGGAGGATACGATAGAGGGTCCTATCAGGCGCGATGGTTTAGTGGTATAGCAGTTTTCTCGGAAGTTCCCGGGTTCTAAACCAAGTCCGAATTATCAAGTCCCTCGGAGATGACTTAAAGCCGTCGCTGGTCACTTACTTACAAGTATACCCACCTGCTTTCTTAGCAGTCAGGTAAAACAAACAAACCAGCCAACCAACCTTCATATTAACCATTTTGGCTACCCTATCCCACCTCTCTCTCTCTCTCTCTCTCTCTCTCTCTCTCTCTCACCCCTCCTACCCCCCACCCCCCATTCTCTACTTTTTTCCTCTTCTCTTCTACCATTTTCTCGCATAATCTATTATATCATTTTCTCTTGTTAGCCCTGTTGGAACATGCCCGTGCTCCTAAAGCTACGACATTGCTTGTACTTACTTTACTAGACAATTGCCAAAGCAGTTCGATAAAACTTCCAACACAAATAAATCATATGATGACATGAAGGGAATAAGCTATTAAATGTAAAATAAGATTATTCTAAGAATTTATTCGTCTCTAACAAAGTATTTGCCCCATCAAAATTGTCCATAATAAGATTCGAACCATTAACCTCACCTCTACATTAATGGTTCAATATTCGGAGAAGCGAGACTGTCGATATAACGAGGAAAGGGAATGGTTTTCACGGTACTGGGATTGGGAGAGAGAATGTATAGGGAAGATTATAATAATAATAATAATATTGGATATTTATAAAGCGCACATATCCACCATGCATGATGCTCAAGGCACTCCAAATATTACCCCGGCTCTGCTAGGCAGCCGATTCGGCGCTCACAGCATTCAAGGAATTCCTCCCTACCGGTACCCATTTAACACCTGGGTGGAGAGTGGCAAATGTAGATTAATATCTTGCCAAAGGACATTAGTGCGGTGGCGGGACTCGAACCGCGGACGAGCTGATACCCCTTGTGGTGTAGAAATCTGTCCCTTGTTCCTCTTTCTGATGTGCTCTCTATAAATTACATAAGAGCAAATCATTTCCATCATGATTAATGGAGACTGGGTCCCTACCCAGTTTCCTTCATCCTTCCGTCAGTCTTCGTAAACAGGTCTTTTGAATCGGCAATGGATTAGATTAAAACGGGGTAAAAAAAATCCTGAAAAGGGCAACCCATGTCCAGAGATATCCTCTAGAGAATTCCGTTTTTGCATGGTTAAGCTGTTGGTGGAAAGAAAACTGTAGAGGAACAAAGTCCAGATAAAAGATGAACGTCCATCTACATAGTAAAGAAAGGTCACCTGATTTGTGAAGGGTTTAAAGTCAGGAAACAACGTCATTATAAAAACATGTGAAATAGGGGGCAATTTAATCTCAAGAGGGTCTTCAATGTTATAGCGGGAGAGGCGATCGGTCTCTTCAAATGAGCATTTTACTGCACGAACAGCACTCTTTTTGCTGTCGGAAAAAAGTAAATGAATGAGCCCCCAGGTCCCTCCTCCGCTGAACATGAACCTGAACCAAATTGCAGATTATTGTACAATGGATACATACTGTGTGATGTACTGTTTTATGTTACCAATTCAGATCGGGGCATATATAAGGTTTGTTCTTCCCCAATTCCTTTTTTTTTAAACCTCTTTTTCTTCTTTTCAATCAGACGTGAGCTCTTTTCTTATGTTCATTTGCGTTTACCTTTTCATTCGGTCATATCTTCTGTCCTTGCAATTTTTCGTTCATTGCTGGCCCTAGTCCAATCAGTCGGCTTTGAACTGACATGTCCTAGCAACTTCGAGAACAAATGCTCACGACAAAAGATGACAAAATTTGTTAATTCATTCTCGATTCTAATATCTTTTTAGAAGCATAGAATTGAATCAATGCACCTGCTCTTTTGATTAATGATGGAATTGATTTTTAGAAGAACAAAAATACGAGAATGACGAGTGAATAATTGGCTTTCATAATCTGTCGATTAGCGACGAGCGTCTACACCTTGTTAGTTCTTTAGTTCATTCTGTTTTGAATCATTCGCTATCAGTCTACATCTCTCTGATCAAACTTCATTGAGTGGGATAAACAAGCCTCTGGGAGTGGGAGCTTGGGAAACAAGGGGGAACGAAAGTGAATCCTCCAAACGGGGGAGAATTCGGGCCTTTCCCTAGCCATTCATTGACTGGTTACAGGTGCATGTTACGACGGGTGCAAGCGTCAGAGAGCCCGAGAAGGAGAAAGAGAGCGGGGAAAGATTTCACGCGTGTACCGTCTCATCTGTGCACCATTAATCCCCGATTTGATTTTTTTTCTTTTGTGCTTGCAATCAGGAGGTAGAATTATTGATTTTTTTTTTCTTTTCTAAAGCTAGTGAGAGAACGACGGCCTCGCGTCGTTCAAGATCATCACCACGTCGTCAAACGTCAATGTCGAAACATGGCGCCCGTCCGCCGAATTTTGGCGAGGACAACATCTAAGGGGTGACGAACAAACAAAACCGGCCGGGCGCGTGGGTTTACAACCAGTCGGCGGAAGCGTATATACTGATCCTTCGCTGCCGAAAGGCGGTGTTTTGTCGCAAGCAAATACCTCACTCATGAAATCATGTAACAATCACGGTTCAAACTACACCATGGATTCAGACGAGACGAAAATAACTGTGAGAACGGGGGCCGCGCATTAAGCGAAAGACTGGTGACGAACAAAATTGAAGCCCG